CTGAACTCTGTAATTGGCTTAGATCTACAGTTGTTGGTCAGTTCTAAAAGCACACCATGTCCACGTTCCCCCTAATAGAACATCAAAATGTGGATGACTCCGTAATGTGGAGAAAGGCAGTCTGTGCTTCAGAAGGGAACATATTGCGTTATCACGGGGCAGTCATTTTCTGAGTGGCCCGAGGCACTGCCATACATCAGAAACGCTTCGCACTCGTGCTCCAGCAGCTTCCTCCTCCGCTGCCGTTCACTGCTTTAATGTGTTTCACTCTGCACCCGCGAACACCAATCAGGTAACAAATGTACAAGCATGAATTATCTCCATCAATCTCTTCCACGTACACACTCCAGGTAGTAGAACAGGGGGATGCAAATCTTGAACAGTTGAATTAGCTTAAGCTTCATAAGCAACCTGTCGAGAGGATGATTCCCACCAGTATCATCATGCAGGGGTGTTTCTTATTGTATGTTAAAAGGAGTATATCATGGAAAACCAAATCTTTCTTGCTGGGTAGTGTATTATATATATATATATTTATGTGTGTGTGTGTGTGTGTGTGTGTGTGTGTGTGTGTGTGTGTGTGTGTGTGTTACATTCTACATCAAACACTTGTTTTTTTATACTTTTAATATAAGTTAAAGTGAAGAGGTTGAAGTCCAAGTCATTTTGGTCATTTTGGATTTCTATTGGTCCATTCATCCTGAAATCTTCACTCAATGAGTGTGTTTACATGCACTTAATAATCCGGATATCTGCTGTTATCTGATTATTCAAATGGTCATTGCCTAGATGAGAGTAAGGTCTAGAAATCCGATTAAGAAATCTGATAAAGAGAGCTGGATTTTAGCTCAGTAGTCAGATTTCTCAGTGCATATAAACCCTTACTCTGATTTCTTTCGGATTTCTCGGTCTGAGCATGTGCGAAACAGACGGCGGTACTAGACACAGCAAGCAGCGTTGCCGCGAGACGCAGCAAAACACTGTATGTTGTACGTTATGTATGTTCATAGTTTCAGGTAAAGTAATGCAATGTTTAAAAAAAAAGCTGCAGAATGAGGTTTTGGTCACGTCGTCTTCTGTGAGTTTATTGGCTGGTTGCAAAGCAGAAATCCAATTACTGTCTGACTCATGTAGACTTTGAGTTTTCCCATTATCTAATTACTTAAGTGCATGTAAACACGTTAATCAGATTACTGACAAAATCTGATTTTCTGCAGTTACCAGATTATTAAGTGCATGTAAACACACTCAATCTAAGGGGCCAGCTGTGCTGTGTCCAAATGACTGTAGTAAAATATAAATAATTAACTGAGATATTTGTTGTTTTTTTGGGGGTTTTGTATTTTTAGGTAGCAGTGATTTACAATATTGTCTAATAGTCAGAGACCACTCTTTTATTTATTTAATTTTCTGTCAAAAAAAAAAAAAATTTGGCCATTAAAAGCCTTAGTTGAGATGACACAGCTGTAACTCATTAGTTTAAAGAGTGGACAAATTACAATTTGGTAAATGAATGTTGGAGGCTTCAGTGTAATTTATTGTACTGCACAGTTTGTGTTGGTCATCCTCTAGTCCTTCACAGGTCACAGGACGCTGCCCACAGGACGCTGTTGTCTGGATAATTTTAATTCTCAGTCCAGCAGTGACACTGAGGTTTAAAAACTCCAGCGCAACACACACTAACACACCACCACCACATCAGTGTTACTGCAGTGCTGAGAATGATCCACCACCCAAACAGTACCTGCTCTGTGAGGGTCCATGGGGGTCCTGACCACTGAAGAACAGGGTAAAAGGGGGCTAACAAAGTATGCAGAGAAACAGATGGACTACAGTCTGTAATTGTAGAACTACAGAGTGCTCCTATTTATTAAGTGGAGCTGATAAAATGGACAAAGTGGTGGAATTAATGAAGTAGCTGGTCAGTTTATATTAAGGTTGCTTGTAGGTTATTGTTTTGTTTGGGCCTAGGGCATTTTTTTTTGTTGTTGTTTTGTGTTTTTGTTTGTCTTTTTGTTGTTGTTCCTTTAAAACCTGATATCTCTGTAATCACTTGATGGCAGCAAAGTACACACACACACACACACACACACACACACACACACATGCACAGAGCTCTTAATGTCAGGTCAGTAGAGGCTTCTGCAACTGAAGCAGCATGTTTAATTACCTGCACAGAGCCAGATGGGTTCATTCTCGTTTAAACAGTGTTTGGAGTGTGTGGGAAATCCACGTTATTCTGTTGAGAGCAGAGCTGTTCAGTCATATTATGTTAGAGTGTTACTGAAGGACATTTTACTGGCCACTTTATTAGAAACACCTACCATATACTTCCACTCACTGGACACTTGTTGAGGTCCACCTACCTTATAGGTCCAGTATATAAGTGTAAAACTGCAGACTGTAGCCAATCTCTTGCTGCACAATTTATCAGTCAGACTGTACACCATTAATCATTGGTCAGTTTCTGACCACAGATCTGCCTTTCATTCTGATGGTGGACCATTCTCAGCACTAGCACAGTAGTGTGGGTGGCACTGGTTTGAGTGTATCCAGCACAGCTACAGTGTCTGACTGTATACCAGCAAGGTGGAGCTGCAGTCATGTGGGAAAGTTTCTGCACATTTTAATGCAGAAATAGTTTTTTTTTGCTGAAATGAACATATTGGAAATAAATAAAACATAAAATATGACCTGTGCAAAATTATTTTCAGAATAATAAGTTAAACTCGGCAGTTAAATAGAAATTGTGCATTCAATTTAGCATATTTTAGTTTGTTCTCAGTAGAGGATGCGACAGAATAGCAATATCCTTAACCTTTCTTAAAGGTGGAACCACTGTTTTGTTGATATATTTGGTGGTGAAGTTGATTGTTTAAGTCTGCACACATCCAGAAAGGCTTTTGCTGATTTTACTTGGTGATAAAACGATGAAACGCCGTGCTGAGTTTCACGTCCTTTTATTATTATTTATTGAACACTGTATTTCAATAAAACCACCCCAAACTAACTTCAATTTGCAGAGAAAACTTTGGGGCAGATTTACTAAGAGAGGCATTACTTTTTTTTAAACAGCCTACTGACACTTTAGCAGGTTACCTATTTAGAACTTCCATGCAAATGAACCCAACATGGTAATTAACATTGGATCAGCACAATATATAACCATGTGTTTGGCTCTATTGCTTTTTGTATGAAAGTCTGTTTCCAAAAAAGGTTTTTAATCCTTTGTTACAGGTTCAAAGTTTGAAATAATGACTCGTTTTCTCAATATCTTGACTTTGATTGTCAGCTTGAAAGAAGAATTATTGCTCTTTGATAAAGTATGTGATTAGTTTAACATCAGTAGAGAACATAAGATTGTAAATTGTCGGAAATTTGAGGAAATTAAGTAATTAATTTTTACTTTCTCTTTTGAAACATTCTTTTTCGGCTGGATGGATGAACTGAACATGAGTTCAGTGCCGAGTGCATTTGGAAACTATGTGAAATTGTAAAAATCCCTGTTTGATTTCACTAAACGCACAGAGATCGATTGAGAACTATATGATTTTAAGCGTAACCTCTTAGTACATGGAGTTTGCAGTGGTGCAGCGTTAGTAAATCTACCCATTTGTTTTCTACAGATCGTGAAATTTTGTGATTCAATCCTGCTTTGCCTGGAAGTAAGAAGACTAGAGCTGGACCGTGTTTTACTTTGTCCAAAAAATGATATGAATGAATGCATAGCACACAAAAACTGAATGCTACGAAGCAACTTTCCAGTTCTATCGTCTCATCCAGGCCGGGCCTTTTTAAATGGTAGGAGAAACACGACAGTGGTATCCTTGCCTTGAACGTTTGCACTCTAACACACACGAACCAACTAATCGGCTAATTATCGTGTCCTTTCTGAGTTGAATTGGTTGGGTTGGAGAAGGGAAAACACTGAAATGATCCAGAGAGCGTAGGGAACCACTGCCTCAGCCGCTTCCGTTACGTCAGAGGCGGCATCTGACAATCAAAGCCGGTGATGCTCGCCTGCAGTATAACCGCTGGTGCTGAGGTAATCAAATCCTCGCGAGTTGACACTGATTGGGAGATTGATATGCAAATGCAGGCCTTAAATGTGAATGCTGATTTGATATCCGTCTGCGTAGAGATTGAGCAGGGTTTCCTCTGAATTACAATAGGCAGTGATGAGCTGGGAGCAGCGTTGCGGTGAACAGAGGTAGGCAGAGCAGCCTTAAAAGTGTTGTGACTGTAATGAAATATCGACTCAAGTAGGTGCAAAAGTATCTACTAAGAAGCGACCTGAGCATAAAAAATGTCAGGTTCAACAACTTCTGCAAGACTTGAGTTGCTTGTAGAACCACGGTGGAACTTCTTAGTGCATCCAGCATCTATCAGCACAGGACCTGAAGTCTTGGGTGCTGTTCTTCTCTTTTTGGGATCATTTTGGTCTAAAATGCTGTGTTTATTATTAGGACAGAAGTATGATATGGTAGCACTAATAAGGGGAACTGGTAGCAGCCGTATATCCATATTAAACATTGTATTTTCTGTTTTGTGGATTTATAGTGCTTAATTTTGCTATATTTATAAAGAATGCACTAGTAAGTATTGCTAACATAAAAAAAAACATTTTTTTTTAATGTTTTGATCATAGAACAACATATATAATTATTGCCGTTTAGCGTGTGTTTGCTGACCGACATTAATTCTAGTTGTTAGCAATACTAACTTCTTTATTTTGTTGTATTTATTTATTTTGGACAAAGTTCTCCATTATGCCTAACAGCAAAGTATATCCATAGTAATACATGCTGCTTTTATCTCTCTCTCTCTCTCTCTCTCTCTCTCTCTCTCTCTCTCTCTCTCTCTCTCTCTGCACTCTCTCCCTCTATCAATTATTCCTCACTCAGATTAGGTATCAGGCCTATTTTGGTGTGCTTGCAAAATGTAATAACTTGTCTGTGTTTCTCTCTCTGCTTAACCCCCCCACCCCGCCCTCTTTCTAGGGTCAATCCAGGTGGAGTTTGAACAGAGGAATTCCTGTGCCCAGCCTAAAATGAGGAACTGCTGAGAGTCAGTATGACTGCATGTTTTTCATTCATTTTAGGGTCTGAACGATATATTGATTGGATGATAATATCGAGTGATATCGAGGTCCTGCAGATTTATGGCTGTAGGCAAAAAAAAAAACCCTGGTAAAGCAAAAATATTTAGCGTCTTGTTTAATATAGTAATGAACAGTATTGCAATCATATGCAAAAGTTTGTGCACCCCTGCTGAAATGACATGCTGTGTTGAAAATCTCTACAGAGAACACACTGCTACACATTGTAGCACACAATTATTGTTTGGTGAAGTTAACATTTTGGGAAAGAAATAAAAGCGTGAAATTAGCAAAAGTTAGGGCACATTTTATATTTTATTTATTTATTTATTTATTTTAAATATGTTAAACTCCAATGTGTGCTAAACATGTCATGTTTAAGTTTGTTCCCTGTAGAGAATTTGCATTGCATAAGACTGTATGGCTAAAATAGCAATAGACCTATGGTTATAGGTGAATAAGTAGGTAGATTGATGCGTAGAATGGAAGGAAGGTAGGTAAGGTCAAGATTAGAGCAGAAAACGGCACTGTGAGTGAGATTACGTGCATGCTTGAATGTGCATCAACCCCTTAAAATCCCAGACCATGTAAAATACATACCACATCTTATTATTCAGTAACTACATGGACTGGCTGAGTTTTTCTTAGGTTATAGAAGTGTGTAGTACAACTTTGGACAATTTAAGGGGTTCAATTTAACTGTATTATCAAAATAACACAATGCATTCAAAATGAACCTTAATGAGCATAACATCAGTAAAGCAGTCCTTATATAAAACTAATAGAGACTCTTTTTTATTTTTTGTTTAACCATTTTTGAATTATATCAGCTGATATTAGCGATTATCTCAAATTTTAGCTCCTTAAAATCAGTATCAGTGTCTGTCACATTTTCATATCAGTCAAGCTTTATAATAATCTCTCCAGACTGAGCTGATTCTGCTGTCCTGTGTGTTTGGGATTTATCTTCCATATGATCCTGCCTGTAATGTTTATGCGTGACTAAAGTGACCAGTCATGTTCCATTTGCTGTATGTGTGTGAGCTAGCTCTTATACTGCGAAGTACATCACACACACAAACACACACATGCACATAGACACACACCACTCATTCGTTATACACAATCTGTCAATGCAGTGATGCAGGAAAACACCAAACTGTTCAAAGCTTACATACATTATCAGCTGTCTTCATTTCAGCCCCAGTCAAAAGTTTGGTCACACTGAGTAAATGTCATTTTGCATAATATTAACCCCTTAAAATCCAGGCTCATTACATACTAAGACTTATTATTCAGTAACTATAAGTACTTCAGTGCAAAAATTTACTTTTTCAAATCTGGAAAAGCATCTTAAGTGGTTCCTGTTGAGCTGCATCAAGGCAAAGAGTGGCTACTTTGAACAGTCTAAGATGAAACATAGTTGGGATTAACTGACCAGTTTTGGTCACTGCATAATTTTATACGTTATATCACAGGTTTGATATCTTATCTGTGTCCACTCTCTACCTTTATTACAGCTTGTATTCTTTGCTGGAGACCTTCTTTCAGTTTTTAACCTTATCTGATGGTAACCGTTTGGGTGGTCTACCAGCTCTTGCATGGTTTTTAGAAATCCCTTTTTCTATATCCTTCATTAAACACTTTGAGCTTTGGAATTTTTTGAAATGTTTGTTTTTCACATATTTTCCTTGGATGTTCCCTTTTGGGGAGGCAGGAAGGTATTTTAAGTTGGGGGTGCTGATATTTTAAGCAGCGTATGCATGATGTCAGTGGTGATGTCATGCAAAATGATTTGCCCCTTTTTCATTTGAATTTTTTTGATTTACATACAACCGAAGGTGCCATAATGTGCCATAATGTGGCAAGAATATACACATTAAACCACTGATTTCTCTGCTCTCTCTCCTTCTGGATAAACTTTATGCAAGTGAGTTAAGAGGCAACAAATCCAGAATCAGATGTGTGGCGATTGTGTCACGCTCACAGTCACATGCTGAGATTCAACGCTCGAACGCACATCAAGCGGAAGGCATAAAAAATATTTTCAGTGCTTTGAGGCTCAGAACTGGCTAACAGCTCTGCACACACGCTCCCTCTTTGTACCTCGAACTGCGTGTAGCAGTTTGGCTCGCTTTAATGAAAATGTAACGTTACCTTAAACAGTGCACGGCTATTGTAGATTTGAAATGTGTGAAGAAAACATAAAATACCCCGTCCTAAAACAAGCACACAAAAGTCTTTGCTACATTTAAATCATATTAAAGTTGAGATTTTTTTTTATTTTTCGCAGTTGCAGTTAAACTATCCTGAAATCTGGGGGTGTTGCCGTACATTCAGCCCCCCCACTTCCCCTGTCCCTGTTCCCCTTCCTTATGCAAGTGAATTATTTTAAACCTAATCCTCAAAAATATCACCTTAAAACTAAGTAACTCAATGTCCAGTTTCACCATTTTTACTGAAAAGTGAATATCTGTAAGTGTGAAGGTTCTGACTTTTGCGAAGTACTGTAAACTTAAAAAGAAATGCCCCCAGACAAGTAGTCTGTTTCTCAGCCAGCACAGTGTGAGCATGTGTGTTTCCTCTTCAAGCCTGGAAAAGAATCCCAGGCGGCTCCTCATAAAGCTGCTTGAGAGAACGCCAAGCTGCATCAAGGCTACTTTGAAGGATATAAAACAGAAGATAGTTTGTGTTGAATACTTGTTTGTTGCCTGCATAGTTGTGCTATCCATAGCCTCCGTATATGTTCCTTCACAGGTTTGACGTCTTCACTATTCTTCTGACATCTAGAAAATGGTAAAAATAAGGAAAGCTTTCTGTCCGTAGGTGGGTCCAAACTTTTGACTGGTACTGTCGCTTCAGTTTAGATGCTTGCGAATGATGTCCTGCTGAATGATCTATATGAGAAGCACCTTCACCCCTTGAGCACACACCAAATGCACCAAATCCCATATGCAAATGGATTACCCCACGAAAACACCCGCCGCAGTCTGATACTGCAGCTCCAGCCCTTTACTGAGTGATTGAGCTCTGTGGGTGAAGGCTGCGGCTGCTACGTTATCTGAAAGAACTCCGTCAGACGCCTGATCTGACATACAGAGATAAGCAGCAGTGCAGGTTTGGCAGTACACTGTGTGTTTTTTAGTTTTTTTCCCCTCATTAGACCTGCTAGGCACCAGGAAAGGATTCACTGAGGGCCATATGTACGAGCGCAGGAGCACTGCAAATGCGCCTTGATGCAGCCACAGTATGCGCCCGCAATGCACCTGAATTTAACGTTAGATTTACTAAAACTGCGGCTTATCACGCGAACTGTATAGTCCTGCCCACCATCTGCAGAGTTTAAAAAGCACATAATGTGGAAAATGATAAAAATGTCTGCCAATAAGCTGGAAGCGAAACAGAAAATGGAAATTCTCTGAGGATAGCGGATTTGTGAAATGATAACATGGATATTGTGGCCGCATCGCAGCATGTCTTCTCTCACACGTACATTCACTCCTGACAGTTTAAGCTGCGGCTGCTACCTTGCATCTCCGTTCACTGGCCATTTTATCAGAAACAGCTACCATATAGGTGCACTTTCGTAGGCTTACATGTACTGACTGAGGCCTGTCTGATTCTGCACAGTTTATCCAACTGCTCTACCCCGTCTGTCAACGGAAAGGAACCACCACAGGACCTCCACTGACCAGATATTATTCAGGTGGTGGACTGTTCTCAGCATTGCAGTGCCACTGTTTGGGTTTCCAAATTTTAAGTGAATTTCCAAAAACCAGTAAACGACAAAATGAGTTAATCAGTGCCTCCGTGAACTACTGCAAACTCCTGAAGATGACGTGACGTGCTTTCGTTGTGCTTTACCTTCATTAGCTCTTGGTACAGCGGTTTTGACAGCTTTGTGTCAACTGGACATGGCCAAAGCTTTACAAGTTCAGGGAGACGGGGTGGACCGGGTGAATTGGTCACTGTCCCAATTCACCATGGCTCCCTGACTTTTATTCTTGCTTTTTTTCTTCTCTGCCTCATCTAAGAACAAACTTTATTGACTTTTTAAGACCTTTTTTCTGGTATTTCCACTCAGGTTTTTTATGAACATTTTCAAAATTTACATAAAAGAGCAGGATAGAAACCCTTTAGAGCAGTATCCTGCACAGTGGTGTTGCTGGGGTTTTACCCTAACTGGCCACTTTAAAGGAAACCCCTTCCTTTAAAGCTCCACCTTGCTGGTGTTTATGGTGTGTCTCTAGCCCTTCATCAGTGGTCATCCGTTGGATATTTGGGTATTGGACTGGTTGGAAATTTCTTGGTAGTGGATCACGCTCAACCCCTCAGCATCACTGTTGTGGCTGATATACTCATACCAGCCCCACACACACTACAGTGTTGGTGTCACTGATGTGTTAAGAATGGTTCACTATTTAAAATAATTTCTGGTCAATGGTGGTCAATCTATTTACCATATTTCGGAAAAAAAAACAGTATAAAATGTGCCATAACATTTTTCAAAGGCCACATTTTCTTTATTTTTTCCCAGTATGTTAACCTCAGCAAACAAACAGTAATTGTGCATTAAAATGTTCAGTGCGTTCTCCTTACAGAAACTCATTTTCATTTAGGAAATCAACAAAACGTGATTTAATAAGGGGCGCATATTTGACAACTTTTGAATATGACTGTACAGCATGCACCTATACACCTCTATTACTAATAGACTGGCCAGTGATTGTAGGTACAACATAAGTGAACCAGCTACTTGCTGTAAAATACATGTAGAACTAATTAAATCATGCTTCTGCAGTGCTAACTGAGAAAGCCCTTCACTGTTACCACCATTGCACTACCTAAAATGAATGAAGAATAGTTGATGTCTCAGCCAATTATGGTTAACACAGCTCATAGTGATGATTGCAGTGTCCACATGGAAGTGCATCTGAGTACTCTGAGTAGAAAAAAGGCCCCATTTCAG